ACTGTGCCCGCATTCTCCACCATATTGTGATCCTTGTCTGCAGTTAGCACGGTCCTTTTGGGTACAAACATGCACAGTCTTTAAAATAAATTAATTCCAGGCACTTTATTTGTAAATCCACACAGGCGACAGCAGTAAATGAAAAAAACAATAATGTAACAAAATCCCTTTAAACAAAAACCTAGCTCATTGGAGCACTAACTAAATTCAGATTCCTTATCTCTCAGGGGTTAAACTATAAGAAAATAATACTGGTTTCACCAACCTAGTGTCTTTGTCAGCTCTCAGCACTCCAGTGTTTAGTCAGCTTGCTGCTTCCAGCCCTTCAAGAGAGAAACAAACATTCTCCCCTACCTGCCTAGCAGGGAGGGGTTTATTCCCACTGCTGCAGCTGATTACCTGCAGCTGAGCAGTGGGTTGGTGACAGTCCAAAAACCCTGGCCTGGATCTATGCCTCCTAAGAAAACCGCTAAACTGCAGAGTGGAGCACTGGCCCACCCTGCTCTCCAAATGCTCCACCCCAGGGGCCCATAACTAAATATTCATTTCAGTTATATACACACACACACACTCCCCCTGGGGTTAAAAATCACTTGCCTCTCTGAACAATTCAGTCAAAATATAAACTCCCTCACAGACCACCCCATTCACCTTATCACAATATATATATATATATATATATATATAAATATATATATATAAATATAATACGGATTGGTGCATTTTCTTACCCTTTTGTGGTTCGTCTGATTTATTGTTTTAATTGGAGTTTCAGTATCGGAATTCTGCTAAACCAAACAGTCAGGTGGCTGATATGTGGGGCTTCCTGAAATATTTTTGTGGAAAATGGTTCGGCCAAAGCAAATTTTCCCACCATGCTCTAGTTCTAGATAGGACCCCTAATTTGCTCCAACCAATTCTCATTCCTTGCACAGAAGAGATTGGAAGTAAACTGAAATTTAATCTAAAGGTCTATTGAACCCCATTTATTTAAATAGGGAAAGATTGATTTGGATTTACTCTTTGATGATAAATGTTTTAGTCTATTTGCATCTTCTACTCTGATCATGGGCAGCCGTGAAACACAGTCACCAAGAGATTAGGGATTATTTTGTAACCACTAAATGTACATATTTTTCCTCTGCTGATAAGTCTCTATTGACATTTGACAAAATAATTCCAAAATTTTATTTTGCATTCTGGTGTCTTATTCAATAGCCTGTCCCATACTTTTGAATGGATCATTCTGTGACTACATTGAAATGGACTCAACCATCAAAATATAACAAGTCTCCTTTCCGAAACAGAATCTCTATAATAATAATAATAATAATAATAATAATAATAAAGAGTGGTGTAGGACAACCTATTCTTATGATTTAAGTTAGAGGTTGCATTGATAATTACCCATACTGAGGAAGGAAATGATTTTACTGAACATAAAACATTTTGTAATGTAAACTCTGGGAGCCAGATATGTAGCGTGTACGTGATCTGTTTGATGATACAGTATCTATCTCTCTTCCCAGCTTCTACTCATTATGCTAATGAAGTGTCATCAGTTGTGCGTTCCTGTGATTATTGAGTCTGTCAGGTAAAGCAGAACTATACTGTTTCTTGTTTACTGTTTCTATTCTCCCAGTATTCAGTGTTCTTGCTGGAATTCACCATCTATTGCCCACCATGTGTTCTCCTTCATAGATGTCATCTTCTTAGCTTGCAAACTCAATTATTAACGTAAGTTTTACCAGAAGGACGTGCCAGTATAGCAGCCTGTGCTATATTGTCTATTTCTGGTACGTGGTTATTTAAATGTAAAGTCCTGCGCTAAAACTCCCACTACTTCTGGGTGGCAGCAATGACTATTGTACACATCATCCCCAATACATACAATAAAAATCTAAGAAAATAGTTACTTGCGCACTATCCCAAATCCCTAGAGAGTGACAACTGGGGAGAAGAGAGTGACAACAGGGGAGAAGAGAGTGACAAGGGAGGGGGGAGAAGAGAGGGACAACGGGGAGAAGAGAGTGACAAGGGAGGGGGGGAAGAAGAGAGTGACAAGGGAAGGAGAGGGGGGAGAGGAGAGTGACAAGAGAGGGGGGAGAGATTGACATCCATCACACACAATGCACCCCTTACACACAAAGACAATGCACCCCTTGCACACAGAAAAACACACAATGCATTACACACACAGACACACATACACTAGCAATGCAACCCTTACACACAATGCACCCCTTACACACACAGAAACACACAATGCATTCCTTACACACACTCAATGCATCCCTTACACACACTCATTGCATCCCTTACAGACGCACACACTGCATCCTGTACATACACAGAAACACACCTTGCAGCCCTTACACATACAAACACAGATTCACACAATGGTTTCCTTACACACATATCAGGACATCCCCTACACACTCCACCACCTGTGAACAAACTCATTGGTGGAACATGAAGGTGGACCCTGGGACCCAGACCTTGAGCTGTGTAAAGGGCCCCCAAAAAATGGAGCTGCTTCCCGTTCTCCCAGAACATTGATTTTTGTGACCACAGTTACAAACCGCCTCCAGAGAGCCTGTTCTACACCAGACCAGTGGAGCCAGACTGCAGCTAGAGCCCATCATCATCCTCATCTGGTTGTAAGTAGGCAATCTAGTATATTATTCGTGGCACTAAGATCTAATTTACCTCACATTAAAGAAACACTATAGTCCCCAGAACCACTTCAGCTTAATGTAGTGGTTCTGGTGTCCATAGCCTGTCCCTGCAGGCCTTTTAATGTAAACACGGAGGCACTGGAGCACTGGCGTTAGTTAACATGGCAGATCATATGGGTGGGGCATTGTGATGTCACATGGGGGGGGGGCGGCAATCTTTACTTTTGCCTAGGGCGGCAAAAATCCTTGCACCGGCCCTGTGTGGACCCAGCTGATGTATTTAGTTTAAGATTTAAAAAAAAAAAAAGTTATTTTGTTTAACCATTTCAGTTAATGAGCATTGATTTCTAAGCAAATCAAAGATTACGCAAGCTATATAATGTTGTTGTATTAGTTAAAAAAACAATCTAAGTAGTTCTCCAAATATGAGTGATTAATCTACTAAACTAAAATCAGTCCTGATATAGCTGTTTTATTAATCTAAATATGAAATTTTTTATCTGGTTACAAATATTAAAGATTATATCTACCAGCAAGAATGAGTCTTTAATTAAAACAAAGATGTAAATCAAGTCTTGGGATTTAAATCATGATTTAAATAGTGATTTAAATCAAATCCACCCTGATTACAACTGATATATTGTATTCATTTGTTGTGTTGTACAAACTAGAGCAAAAGGCTAAGAAGCAATGGACAGTGACAGAAGAAAAAAAGAGGAGAGAGACTGTAAGAGATAGACGGAATGAAACATAGAACATAGAATGTGACGGCAGATAAGAACCATTCGGCCCATCTAGTCTGCCCAATTTTCTAAATACTTTCATTAGTCCCTGGCCTTATCTTATAGTTAGGATAGCCTTATGCCTATCCCACGCATGCTTAAACTCCCTCACTGTGTCAACCTCTACCACTTCAGCTGGAAGGCTATTCCATGCATCCACTACCCTCTCAGTAAAGTAATACTTCCTGATATTATTTTTAAACCTTTGCCCCTCTAATTTAAGACTATGTCCTTTTGTTGTGGTAGTTTGTCTTCTTTTTAATAGAAAAAATTGGTCACAGGAATCACACTCATCCCCATCTGCAGGGCTGCCATCAGAAATTTTAGGGCCCCTGACACAGCTCAAGATCTGGGCCCCGTGTGCGAGCCCCGAGTCCGCCCACAAGGATGAAGTGTGTGTGTGTGTGTGTGTGTGTATAGTGGATGTAGAATGAGTGCCATGGATGCAGTGTGTATAGTGGATGTGGTATGTGTGTCATGGATGCAGTGTGTATAGTGGATGTGGTATGTGTGTCATGGATGCAGTGTGTATAGTGGACGCAGATTGTACGTTTTGTGTAATGTATGTAATGTTTGTATGCATGCATTAGATGCAGAGTGTGTGTGTAGTAAATGTAGTGTGTGTACAGTGAATGGAGAGTGTGTATTTTTGTAGTGGATGTAGTGTGTTTGTAGTGGGTGCAAAGTATGCATAGTGAGTGTACAAGAAAACAGAGTTTTCACCTTAAAGGAGAAAAAAGTGTAGGTGGATGGTACAAAGCAGCAACTACCCCCAGTGTCTAAAAACCACTAAAAGACACTAACAAATAGTAAAATAACAATAAACAATGTGGGGGGTGCAAGCCAAAGGAAGACAAAATATGTATATACTTAATAGTTGTAAGTCTTGAAGTTAATCTGAAAGATATAAAGTATAAAAATACTTTTTATACTTCATTGATCCTGGTTTGCTATTTATCTTTTATGCATCTGGGGAAGGATATCCGCTAATACAGGAAGATCGAGGAGATAGCTTGAAAAAGCTTATTTTTCAAAAGTGATGACAGCTAGAGCCTGCTATTTGAGGCTCTATATATCGTGAGTGACCCATTACCTCTGTCATACATTATATTTGTACACATACAGTATTATGCTATGTATGCATTGTTATATCTTTCAGATTAACTTCAGGACTTACAACTATGAAGTATATATATATTTTGTCTTCCTTTGGCTTGCACCCCCCACATTGTTTTATTGTTATGTATAGTGAGTGTAGTGAGTGCAAAACGTGTATAGTTCGTGTAGTGTGATTGTGGTGAATGCAAAACGTGTATAGTTCATGTAGTGTGATTGTAGTGAATGCCAAATGTGTATAGTTCATGTAGTGTGATTGTAGTGAATGCCAAATGTGTATGGTGAATGTAGTGTGATTGTGGTGAATACAAAATGTGTATGTGAATGTAGTGTGATTGTGGTGAATGCAGAGTGTGTATAGTGAATGCAGTGTTTGTAGTGAGTGCAAAGTGTGTTTAGTAAATGTAGTGTGTTTGTAGTGAGTGCAACGTGTGTATAGTAAATGTAGTGTGTGTGTGTAGTGCAGTGTGTTTAGTGAATGTAGTGTGTGTAGTGCAGAGTGTGTTTAGAGAATGTAGTGTGTGTGTAGTGCAGAGTGTGTTTAGTGAATGTAGTGTGAGTGTGTGTAGTGCAGTGTGTGTTTAGTGAATGTAGTATCTGTGTGTAGTGCTGAGTGTGTTTAGTGAATGTAGTGTGTGTGTGTAGTGCAGAGTGTGTTTAGTGAATGTAGAGTGAGTGTAGTGCAGAGTGTGTTTAGCGAATGTAGTGTGAGTGTGTGTAGTGCAGAGTATGTTTAGTGAATGTAGTGTGTGTGTGTAGTGCAGAGTGTGTTTAGTGAATGTAGTGTATGTGTAGTGCAGAGTGTGTTTAGTGAATGTAGTGTGTGTCTGTAGTGCAGAGTGTGTTTAGTGAATGTAGTGTGTGTGTAGTGCAGAGTGTGTTTAGTGAATGTAGTGTGTGTGTGTGTAGTGCAGAGTGTGTTTAGTGAATGTAGTGTGTGTGTGTGTGTGTGTGTGTGTGTAGTGCAGAGTGTGTTCAGTGAATGTAGTGTGTGTGCTTGTAAGGATGCAGAGTTTGTGTAAAGTAGGGGGGAGGGAAGTATTTTAAAAAAAAATATTTGTGTATATTTAAAATTAAAATTTTATCCCCTCCCTGGTTCTTACCTTGCCAGGGAGGGGGGAGATCGCATTCCCTGGTGGTCCGGTGGAGAGAGCCAGCTGCATTACATTGCAAAGGGGGCGCAGCAGCACACACTGCTTTCCTTTCCAGTTCCTCTCTGACGAACTCTCGCGAGACCGGCCTGCCTGCTGTGCGGAGCGTTGCAATGGTAACCCGTGGCAAAGCTCTGGCGGCCACAGGAGAGTTAGAAAGAGAGGAGCTGGAATGAGGTCAGAGTGTGCTGCTGGGCCCCCCTCTGCAATTTACAGGTAGGGGGGCCCTCAGTGCACAGATATATAGCGAAACTCGCTATATATCTGTGCACATAAGGAATGTGGGGCTCAGACTGCCAGAGCAATCCGGGCCCCTCAGGACCTCCGGGCCCATGACAACCGTTATGGTTGTCATGCCCTAATGGCGGCCCTGCCCAGCTGCCACACTCCCAGGTGCTCCGGAACAGGACCAGCAATCCCAACAGCAAAAAGAGATTTCCAGGCACTCAAAGTGTGAAAGCCGCAGGCAGATTTATTGTAACAAAACAGACAGCAACGTCTCGACCTATCAAGAGGTCTTTGTCAAGCTAACACCACAAGCAAACAAAAATGCATAGTTAGCAAACAATGCTAGTAAATAAATCAAACAATAATTCACTTAAGTCATTACCAAGAGTCAACAATTAGAGCAAAATACTCAGATCATATAAAGTATACATACATGAATACAATATAATCATATAACATATAATCCCATTATTAACTTACCCCTATGTGCCAGGTAACGGAGAGACAGAGCAAAAAAAAAAATCAGAAGAAAAGATGTAATATACATTAATTACAGAAGGCAGGTAAAAACGCCTGTCAGGGCGTTAGAAAAAATCATTTCTGGGTAAATGGAATGCATACAGGGCTGTTGGAACACAAAATTGTAAACGCCCCTCTGACGGGGCTGCATGAGTGTCAAAGTAATCGCCATTCGCATCATTAAACACACGAACGGCATTTCAGAGTTTGTGCATAATGTCTGTTTGTGCTCTTATGCGCACACTCTGAAATAGGTCGAAACGTTGCTGTCTGTTTTGTTACAATAAATCTGCCTGCGGCTTTCACACTTTGAGTGCCTGGAAATCTCTTTTTGTTTCTTTTAAATAGAATCTCCTCCATTACTGTGTTGATTCCCTTTATGTATTTACATGTTTCTATCATAATGATATACAATATTGGAGGCTAATAAAAGACTGAGTTACTTTTAGTTTGTTAAACTTGAGATACCTTTGGATATGCTGCATAAAAATCTTTATTGTCTTACCCTGAAACTTAGGACTGTCCTTTTATTTTACCCCACAAAGTAGACATGGACTGATCTATCGTTTATGAATGTCTGGGATCTTGCTAGGACCCAGGTTCCTTGTCAACCATACCAAGGTTTCCTGTGGCAAATGATTAACACTAAATACAAATTTGATCTAAAGGGTCTTAAAAATGGGAAAAGGATTGGATTGTGGTTTGTGTTGATGGCGATTTGCTAATGTTTATTTTGTTTAATAGTTTTTAATTATTTATTTAATCATTACTTTTAATACTTTAGTTAGCAATAGTTGGAACTAGTTTATTGTTCATTCATGTTTTAATCGCTCATGGCTATTTAACATTGTTCAAACGAGCTTTGATTACTTCAGCTAATTGTTTAATCCCTTAAGGACACACCAACTTCTGGAACAAAAGGGAATCATGACGGAATATTTCCGTCATGTGTCCTTAACCCCTTAAGGACCAAACTTCTGGAATAAAAGGGAATCATGACATGTCACACTTGTTAAATAAATAGCTCATTAATATGAACATAATTAACTTTGTTTATTATGTGAAAATAAATAACTGTGGATATTTGATATGGATGGAATAATCAACTGAAATATTGTTCATAATGACGTATGTAATGTAGGAAATCAATTTCAATAACTTAATATAGCTTTTTAATCATCTTTCTTAGAGCATGGAGACCAAGGTGCATGTTCACTCAAATTGGGTTATACAACCTCATTCAGTGTAAGAAAATTAAACATATTAACTTCATGAAAAAGCACCAATAAGTGATACATATGAAGATGTTTTCAGTTTTACGGTAATATGTATTTAGATAATATAATATATAACAGTATAATATACCATTGAACAATTCCAGAATGACATTTGTCTGGCTTAATTATCCAAGATACTGAGAATATAATTGCACATTTTTAGATTGTTGCTTCTCATCTTTGGATTCCTCTTCTCCTTAACTGGGCTAGGGTGGTAACGCAGTTCTTTTCAATAGGCTGTTGAGTCTGGACTATAAAAGATGACGTATATATAAATCTGGGCAATAAACAGGGTGCATAAGAATACTGAGAACGGACAATAGCTCCAATAGCCTGCCCTTCGGTGCTGATTTTAGCTCAGCTGGTGCCATTACAAAAAGAACCAGGCCATCTGCATGTCAGACTGATCCCACCCAACGGCAGGACAGATCCAAAATGCATATCGGTTCTCTTTGCAAAACAGAAACAGCAACCCCAGACTATCATTTCAAACTATATTAATCTGATTATTGTTTCAAATAAGGATTACAACACCTATAATAACCCAAGTATCTAAAGCATATTTTTAATATGTTTAACAGTCTTTCATGGACACCTCTAGTTCTCATTTGTAATTAAACATATACTCACCAGGACCACTCGGCTGTAGTATAAAAATGATGAACCATTTCCTTAAAGGGTAGCCTAAATCCCCTAAAAAAATAAGAGATATCTGTTATCGAATGTGTCATAAATATAATATAACCCTATCTTAATTGAAATATGTAGCATTAAGGTATAGCATTGTAGTCCATTTGTCTTACGATTGTTTTCAAATATCCACCACGTTAATAAGTCCAAAGTATATAGCTATCATGCCACCACTCTGACAATGTAGCTACCTAGTTCGTGGTCCTTTATTTAGAATTACACCATACCAGCACATTGAGTGAGTTTCAGTGCCTTTTTTTCTGTATCTTTGTTCACTAATACTTGGAGGTTTTAATGCAATGTGTGAGCAAAACTAGTTGTACAAAGATACCCCTATATCCACCAAAATAGTGCCAAAAAGAGGTAATATAATAAATGGCAAACTTAACTTTGGTTTACAGCTTTCCAAAATCGCTTCCCTATAGGTGATCTCATATAGAACAAAGTGAATAAACTAAAATAAACAAGATACAGTGTATACTTAAAATGTATAAAAATAACAGATCTCCTATTGCCCCGAACAGGAACCAGGATCCAGGTAGGTAGTATATATTGATTTATTACAGAAATAATAAAACAACATAAACAATAAATCAAAATAAAGTATATGAATGGTCTAAAGTCCTACGCGTTTCGTTGTGAGCTCCCTCAGGGATCACAGAATTAAAACAATTTTAAAACAATCAATATACTGAAAGAAAATATCACCCTACCCACCTCTTCCTCTCCTTCCTTCAAATAGGGCTAGTCTACAAGTGATCCAGGGGCCATTCCACTAATTGTCCAATCTCTAATTTCACCAAGGTGTGGGCAGTTTGTTGCTCTAAAGACATTTGTGATTTACTCCATGGAAAATTAATCCATTTTAACATCTCACTGTTCTCTTGGAGTTCTGGGCAGATAGATGAAGTGTTTGCATATACACCATTGGGGAACTGGCTGAGATGCTTGCTAGAAGTGGATTTATGAATGGCACTTCCTATGCCCTCTGTCCTCTGAATGTTACTATATGCCAGGAGATTTATGGAATCATGCCAGATATATATCTGTTTGAGGCCTCTCTGGGTTCTAGTCGATGCTTTAACAATCCATATAATGACATGTGCTCTGGTTAACCAGAATCTCTACAACTCATGTTTATCAGAGAGGGTATCTAACTAAACCCTCCCAGTTTCTCATTTTTTAATTCCTGCTGACTCTGAGGCTGAGATGTCTGCCCTGACATTTTGGATTGCCTGACTATGTCTCTGGATTTCTCACCTGATCAAGTCTCCATACTGCAGGATGCTATAGAAATCTTCTATAGAGAGTACTTTTTCTATGGTTGTATGTCTCCCTGCTGCTGGCCAAAAAAAGTGATAAACGTAAATTAATCACAGCTAATTATTTACCAACAAAAAAAGAAGAATAACAACATGATTCATTCAGTTTGAAGAAAATGACTAGTCCTAAGGTAACCCACCCAGGGGTCATGTTCCAAACTAAGAAGTGTGTTAGTTGACACTGATTCCTATACATTAAATAACATATTTCATACCACCCTTAATTGTCTTCCCCACATTCAAGTTTGTTAAATGCGTAAATATACAACTGAATTTAAACTTTTCTCACCATTGCCAGGCAATGTGTTCAAAATATAGAATGGTCACAGCTGAAAAGGAAGGAAGAGCACTTTTTAATTTGCCTCTCTGCTATTTCAAAATAGTCAGTGCCCTGTCTTAAATGTTCTTCTACAGTAAAACGTCTTACCTTCTTTTCACAGTAAGGAGTCTAGGAACTCAGTTTCCTCTGTGAGTTTACTAAGG